CACACGTGTGCCAGGGGTGCCATGCATGCACATGCATGTGCCACAATGCAGCATGCATGCACGTGTGTGCCAGACGGTGCCACGCATGCACGCTCACGTGCCAGGGGGTGCCATGCAAGCACATATATGTGTCATGGGACACCATGCGTGCACATGTGCACCAGTGAGCACCACGCATGCGCACCCTGGGGCTCAGCTCCAGCTGCACGTACACGTACACTCACACACAACAGCCCAGCCAGAGGTGATGCATGCAAACATGCACATACGTGTGCCAATGCACACACATGTGCCAATGCACACGCAAATGCACACAGCTCCAGCGTGCCATAGAAGGTGCACGCATGCATGCACACCTGCACAGGCAGCATCACGCCTCCGCTGTGTCTTTGCCACAGCTCAGCCACTGCTCGCAGGGCCACCAACCCTGCCCTCGTCACACACCCGAGCCTCGCTCCGTGCCTCAGTTCCCCACCTGAGAAGGGCCTGGGTCCTGCCCCGCGCCGGGCAGCCGCCCCATGACTAATCACCGCCCGGGTTAATCATTCATTTCTCCTCCTCGCAGGCAGCCGGGGTCACTCGTCCCGCTCAGCACAGCGCCTGTGCCCAAGGACTTGGGGACCTTGGCTCGTCCTCTGCCGGAGAGTGATTCCCAGGGGGACACTGGTGAGTTCATGCCTCCCACAGCAGGACAAGCTCCCACTTCCACCAGTTTGGGGACACCAGTCCCATTGTTGCCACCAGCGTCTGGCCTGGAGGGGACAGGGCTGCTCGGGTGATGGCTTGGGGGTCCCTGAGTCCCATGAGGGGGTAGAATGGGTTTGGGGAGGGTGGAGGCCACCCCGTCCCTGCAAGGTCCTGGGCCAGCAGCAAAACCCTTCTGCAAAAATCAAAAATACTTACAAGCACTGAGCAAACATCCCGGTAAGGTCCCGGCAGCGGCGTGCACCGGGGTCGGATCCACGCCGGTGGGATCTGCACAGTGCTGAGGGCTTCCCAGGAGAGCCCCCCGCCCACTTGAGGGGACCCCAGCGTCACCAGAGCCTGCCCTGGCTCAGCAAGAGCCACTCTCCAGGGGACACGGTGTTGTCCCCAGGTTGAGGACGATGTGCCCTTGTCCCATGGCACTGCAGCTGGTGCCGCTGTGCCCTCTCAGCCTCCCTTGCCATCCCGCCTCCCAGCTGGGTGCCACCTCCGTGTCCCCATCCCTGCTGCCATCCATGCCTTGCTGCCATCACCTCCTCCTGCCTGCCCACCAGGGACGAGGGGTCCCTGCCCTTCACAGCCTGCCTTGGTGTAGCCACGAGTGCTATGGGTGCCCTGCATGGGGACGCAGCCTCTCCCACCCCCAGAAGGGCTCCCTGCTCCCTCCTTCCCACCCCATCGGCACCAGCCTCAGGAGCCATTGCTGACCCCCTGCTCTGCCTCCCCCCAGGTCGGAGCGGAGGGGACCCAGTCGGGAGCCCCCATCTCCTGTGGGGTCCCTTGCTGGCTGGGAGACGTCTGGAGGGGGAACCGCCAGGCCGAGGAGCGGAGGATCCACAGCACCAGGCCAGGCTGGAGGGTGCCCGGTAAGGCTGCTCGGGTGGGGGGTGCTAGTGGGACCCCTGAGGACCCCCCTTCCTCCATGATGTGGTGACCAGTGGAGGTCACAGCACCCAAAGGTGCCAGCCCTGGGGACAGGGGAGTCCCACGGGCAGGGTGGCCCCTGCCTTCACTTGTGGAGAGCCTGCAGGCAGGGTGGGCAGAGGGTTTAGCCCTACTCCTGGGGCAGCTGCAGGCAGGGGATGCTGCCTGCCCTGAACCAGAGCACCCTGCCTGCACCAGAGCCACCCTCCGTGCTCAGGGGCTGGGTGCCACCATGCCCAGCGCTGCTGATGGGGAAGGGGACCATGTGTGTCTCTCCAGGGTTAGCATGACCGAGGTGGAACCCGTGCTGGACTTCGCATCCTCCGGGAGAACGGGCCGGCGCAATGCCCTGCCCGACATCCTGGGCTCGCCGGCTGGCGTCAGCCCCTCGGACCTGCCCCTCAAGCTGGCCGAGATGTCCCTGAACGCAGGTAGGCGATGGGGAAGATGGAGAACAAGGCGGGGAGGGCAGGAACCAGGGTTGCTCATATCCTCCTCTCTCCTTGCAGGCAGCACCCAGGAGATGCAGTCGCCCTCGGCGGAGGTGCCCCCTCCGCAGCCCCCCAGCCCCGAGCTGAAGGACACGTCCTAACCCTGCTCAGAGGGGGGACGTTGCTGACCAGCGGAGGAAAGAGGAGGCTGCAGAGCATCAGCCCAGCTTTCCTGGCACGGCCGGAGTCCGCTGGGTTTTCCTCGGTGCTACCGCAGCGAGACCGTCGGGTGTCATCCCACCCCATCATGGGGGGAGCGTCGCGTGGCGGGGACCTACCGTGAGGAAGGAGCGATTCCTACCCGCGCCCTGGGCGAGGACCTGGGGAGGGGGGGATTTTTTTGACTCCCTGGAGGGGAGGAATATTTTTCTTCTGGGGCATTTGGCAGAGGCGAGCGCAGGGGGTTCACCAGGGGGATTCCTCCTCGTCGCAGGAGCAGCCCACGGGTGTTTCTAGCTGAATGTGGTGTTCACTGTGATGTTTTGGGTACCACTGCCGTCTCCTGGCCTTTCTTCCTGGGTGATCCAGGAGCCTTTTTCAAGAAGAGGAGGGGAGAAGCACTGCACAACCCCAGCAGCCCCCCCAGCCCATGAGCAAAGCCCCTTCCCCAGCAGCCAGCACCTTGCTGAGGGGTCCCACCATGGATTGGAGCACCTCAGGGTGGTCCCTGCCCCGGGAGCGCAGGGGTCTCGGCTCCTTGTCCCAAGTCACCCTCTCCGCTGGCTCCGGGTCCCCACGGGAGGGAGGCAGCTCTGCCTCTGGGGAGGGTGCGGGTGATTTCGGAGCGGGTGAGCAGGGTGATGCTGTTTTGGGCATCCCAGGCCTGCACACCACCCTGCCCCCCCTGTGCTGGGGCCACCCATGGCTCCCCATGCCTGCTCCCCTCCTGCAGCCCTGGGATGCCCCGCTGTGTCCCTGGAGAAAACCCAGGGAGGGGGAAGCAGCAGTGAAGGGGGCCAGCCGGGTCCTGCAGCGCTTTGGGGATGTGCAAGAAATGGAGTCGGGCTTTTCCAGGCTCTGGCCATGCTCCCCAAAACCCCTGCTTCTGCTGGCGGGTGGGATGGGGCCCCTCCCGCCCGGGCACCGAGGGGCTGGGGGCGGCGAGAGGTGGGAAGCGCTTGGGTTGCTCAGACCCTGCCCAGGCCAGGGGCTGCTTGCCCAGGCTGGGCTTTGCTGGCCGGAGCCTGGAGCCGGGCAGGGCGGCTGCAGGCTGTGCTGGAGCCAGCTCCATCACGGATGGTCACCTATAGCTGTCGCTGTGGGACCAGCAAACAAATCCCAAAGCCCAGGTCCACTCTGGCCACCGGTGGGGTGGTGACCGGGTCCGGGAGAGCTGTCCGGGGCCACACACAGGGCCACCGTGTCCAGCAGCCCCCCTCCCCAGCACCCCAGGGTGGCCCTGGCCACCCCCGGGGCTCTTGGGCAAGGGCACCGGCTGCCTGTCCCTTGGTGTGGAGGCCAGCCCTGGCCAGGACGTGCTGTGTGTGTGGGCATCCATGTGCGTGGGCATCCATGTGCGTGGGCATCCGTGCGTGTGTGTGTGCGTGGGCACCTGCGTGCATGGGGGCCTCCGTGCATGGAGCACCCACATGTGTGGGCACCTTTGTGCATCCATGTGCGTGGGTGTTGTGCACATGGGTGTCAGCGTGCGTGCGTGGGCATGGTGGGCATGTTCATGGGTGCTGCTGTGGGTGGGTGTCCGTGTGCATGTGTGTTCATGTGCGTGGGTGTCTGTGCTTATGTGCATGGGCACCCATGTGCGTGGCGGGTGTCTGTCAGCATGCCTGTCCATGTGCGTGGGTGTCCGTGTGTGTGGGTGTCCACGTGCATGGGCAGCTGTGTGCATGTGTGTTCCTGTGCACGTTTGTCCGTGTGCATGGGTGTCCGTGTGCATGGGTGCTCATGCGCATGGGCACCCATGTGCATGTTGAGTCTGTCAGCATGGGTGGCTGTATGCGTGGGTGCTCCTGTGGGTGGGTGTCCCTGTGCACGGGCACCCATGTGTGTGGTGAGCCTCTGTGAGCATGGGTGTCCATGTGCATGGGCGTTCCTGTGGGTTGGTGGGTGTCCATGTGCATGGGTGCTCCTGTGGGTGGGTGTCCATGTGTGTGGGCAGCTATGTGCATATGTTTTCATGTGCGTAGATGTCTGCGTGCATGGGCACCCATGTGCATGATGGGTCTTTAAGCATGGGTGTCCCCATGCATGGGAGCTTCTGTGCGTGGGTGTCCGTGTGCGTGGGTGTCCATGTGCACGGGCAGGTGTGTGCATGCGTGTTCATGTGCATGGGTGCTTGTGTGCTTTGGCACCCATGTGCGTGGTGAGTTTCTGTCAGCATGGGTGACCATGTGTGTGGGTGCTCACCCATGTGCGTGGGTGTCCATGTGTCTGGCTGTCTGTGTCCACGGGCAGCCGTGTGCGTGGTGCATCTCTGTGAGCATGGGTGTCCACATGCATGGGAGCTTCTCTGGGTGGGTGTGTGTCTGTGTGCATGGGTGTCCCTGTGCTTGGGTGCTCCTGTGGGTGGGTGCCCTGCTGCATGGGTGTCCATGTGCATGGGTGTCTGTGTGTGGGGCTGCTGCTGTGAGTGGGTGTCCATGTGTGTGGGTGTCCATGTGTGTGGGTGTCCACGTGTGTGGGTGCTCCTGTGGGTGTGTGTCCATGTGGATGGGCAGCCGTGTGCACGCGTGTCCATGTGCATGTGTGTTCACGTGCAGTGGTACCCATGTGCGTGGTGGGTGTCTCTCAGCATGGGTGCCCACTTGTGTGGGTGCTCCTGTGGGTGGCTGTCCCCGTGCGCGGGCAGTCACACCGGTGAACGTCCCCATCTCACGGTTCCGCTGTCGGGGGGAGCCTGGGAGCGCGTGTGGGGACCAGGCCATGCAGGTATGGGACACGGACGCCCAGGAGGGTGAGGGGCCAGGGGACAGCCCCTGCCCTCGTCGTCCCCTCCAGGGCCACCTGGGTGGGTGTGAGCGGGGGCTCTGGCTCCCGGGGACTTGTCCGGGGAATAAAGCGTCCATCTTCCCCTGGGGAGCCGTGCCCTGCGGGCTGTCCCAGCCAGGGCGGGGGGACACCCGTGCCGTGGGGCCTGGTGCCTGTCCCCCCGGGGACGCGAGGCCAGGGGTCCCGCTCGGAGACACTGTCGGCGGGAGGAGGCTGAACATGAGCTCCCGGCTATTTTTGGGTGTCTGCGATGACACCTTGGGGCCAGGGAGAGGGACAAAGCGTCCCCGCGTCCCTCCCGGACCTGGTCGCTTTGACCCCCATGTCCCCAGGATGGGGGGGGGACACACACCCCATTGACCCAGCTGGGACCCTCTGCTGCCCGGGGACGGCGGCAGGCAGAGGCGTGTCCCCAGGGAGCCGGGGCACAGGAGACACCGAATCCCACGGCCACAGGTGACCCCCGGCACGCTGGGAAGGGACCGGGGACACGCTGGCCTTGACCCCACTGTCACCGGAGCCCAAAGCAAGGGGAGGCGTGGGGGGACATGCTGCGGGTCCCACAGCCCCATGGCTGCCCTTGTCCCCAACATCCCCCACAGAGAGCATCTCTGGGGGCACATGTGTCCCCCCCCACACAACCACACAGGGTGAGGACAGGGTCACACGTGTCCCCATGCTCCCCTGACCTCCCCCACCCCGGTTCTTGCTGCTTCCCGTGCCTCAGTTTCCCCAGCTCAGCTTCCCCGTCCCCAGGAGACGTTCCCCTGAAGGACACTGCCATTGCTGGTGTCCCCCTGTCCTGGCTGTGCCCCACCGCCCACAGCCCACGGGCAGCGCCTGCCCCCCACCTTGGGGCTGCCATGGCGGGCACACAGCTGCCGTGCCCAGCTCTGCCCTGCCTCAGTTTCCCCATATCCCACACCCTTTGGCCACCCTGCAGAGACTGTACCCAACTCGTGACACAACTGACCCACTCTGCTCTCCCCATCTTTCACCCCACCCAACCTGACTCTCTGCGACCAGGGGGTCCGGGCAGATGTTGGTGGCCGGTGGCGGGTGACGGGTGGCCGCTGGCAGCGCTGCCGAGGAGTATTTCTGGAGCGTGGTTGTGCTCTTTCCAATCATGTGATGAGGACATTATTTAAGGCGGCCGCGAGGCCGGCAGGCAGCCGCGAGCCGGGCTGTGCAGTGCGGCGCTCGCAGCCGGCCGGGACCCCGGGCCCCCCCTGCACCCGT